ATGACTACTTATTTTTGTCCAGCTTTAACATCGGTATCGATATCGGTTATCGGCTACATGAGTTTTAAAATATCGGCATATCGGATATCGGCCAGAATCCCAATATCCTGCATCCCTATAATTAAGGGATAAACAATAAAATACTGTAAAGTTTTTTAACAATATCAAACTGGAGAATAAATAACCAATATGCAGCTATGGACATTTTTCCAGTAATTTGAAAATAGCAGCATCATCAGAGACGTGCAGAATGACAGCAGCAGGTTGTTTAACTTCCAGCTGCTGGGAGGAAGGATCTGTGATGATGCTACCGGATCCGTTCTGCGGGTCAGGCAGCTCATCTGTGCATCCAGATATACAGCAGGTCGTCCTCCATTTTACTTTGTTAAAAATACCTAAATGGCGTTTTCCCTCCCCAGAAATAGTAAACGTACTAAAATATTATGTTTTGAAGGTTAATAATGTATTTCCTGAGAAATTAAATGCCTTAAAATCTGTTTTATCATCTGTCCCTGATCTGCACCAGAAATGGGATGCTACGCTACTTCCAGGAGCTAACTTTCTCGGCTTTGGATTTAAACACAAATCTAATCTTTTTGAGTTTTATGTTTTCCTTTCATGTTAACATTATGGTTTATAGAGCGTAATCTAAAGAAAGAAACAACTGAAATGCAGATAAACAGTTTAATCAGATTTACTGCTCTGAGCGTGTCCCATGATGACATCAGAGAAGCTGTTTAACGCCGAAAATGTAAAAAGCAGAAAAATTGTCTCCCAGAAGTCATAAAACATTTTTTAAAGATGTGTATTAGCATTCTTTGGTGAGTTAAAGATAGAAATAACTCATTTTAGTACCATAATTACATTATTTATGGACACCCGGATGCATGAGCAGAACGGATGGTGCTTCCGGGCGGATCGGGTAGTGATAACGCTCCCTGGTGCATTTAAGGTGCAGCAGTCTGTCACTGAAGGAGCTGTCCAGTTCAGCACCAGCTTCATGCTTCATTTAGTGAGGATCCGTCTGTTTCCCACCTCCTGCACTGAGTCCAGACGGCATCATATCACAATAATCATCATTTAATAAGTGAAAACATTTTGGCGTGTTTCTGTTTCTCTGTTAGCCTGAAGATGTGAGGAGAGCGGCGTCTCTGAGCGCTGTGGACGCCGTCACTGGGACCCACAGTCACAGCCTCCTCAGCAGGGCACCAGAGAACCAGGCTGAGGGCCCGACCCGCAGCCAGATGTCAGCGGCTCAGTGCCGGCTGAACCTGCTGGAGCACGTGGAGTCGCTCCATCATCAGATCAGCTCCAGGATGGACCTGATCGAGCGAGAGCTGGACGGTAAGAGCAGGACAGCTGGGGGGCTTCGTTTCCTCCCTGATGAGAAAAGTGAGCAGAGCTGGTTTCTTCCTGCAGTTCTGGAGTCATGGCTCGACCACTCAGGAGAGCTGGAGCCACCGGACCCTCTGTCCCGCCTCCCGCAGCTTAAGCAGCGAATCAGGCGGCTGCTGAGCGACCTGTGCACGGTGAGACGCCTGGCGGTCTGCCGCTGATGATGAAGGAGAAAACACTCAGCTGTTCCTGCCGGGAAAACCTTCTCCTCTACAGAGACTGAACCAGGACCAGAACCGGGCCGGTCCATCGATACCAGGAGGACGGCTCCCTGCAGACATCCTTATATTAACGCACTAATATTCATCCAAACTGTAATTAGTTTTTTAAACCTTTTTGTTTTTTAGCAGATGTTTCTAGAAACCAGCAGCAGTTTTATCCCCAGAACCAGAATTTAGAAAACCTGACGGCCTGTAGGGGGCGCCTGTGAGGATCCGGGTTCATTGCTGGTTTAAATGAACCAGTGGGGGGGCTGAAGGTCAGCGGGTCAGGCGGTTCTGCTGGGGGTTTCTACCGGGACGTTCCTGGCTGACTGAGACCCTCAGATGGGTCCAGTCAGAGCAGGAGAAGGTTCTGATGATCCGCTGCTGCTGCTGTTTCTATTTCCCACCTTCATCCATATGAAGCCACAGGAGGTTCTGGTTCTGTGCTGATCCAGTTCTGTAAATAGTAGATCAGAATGCTGCCTGTAGGTCCGCTACCTTCACCTGGTTCTGCTGATCCGTTCTCCAGAATTCCTCCGATGACATCGTCGTTCAGGTTCTAGGATCATCAGAACACATCAGGTCTTCCACCTCTGGCTCAGATCCAGTCCTCTTCCTTTGGACCTTCAATGGATCCGGTTCTGGTACCTGCTGGACGGTTTCAGAAGCTGGTGCTGACTGGGCTGGACCCTGAAGGTCTGAGGGTTCTGGTCTGGATGGAGCTCATCTGACCCTCAGGCTGACCTGTAGCTCTGCACCACATGCAGGTGCTGGTCCGGTTCAGACCGGTTGAGACGTCGGTTCTGAAGGTGAGAAAATGGATGGACTTCATTTCTGACTGAACCAGAGAAGAAGACAGCCGCTTCCATCAGCAGCAGCTCAGATCTACAGATGTTCATCTGATGTTTTTAGACCCGTAGATTTATTTTGGTAGACGATTGATTCCAAGCTGGACTGTTTTTGAGGGAGGAAATAAACGTATTCAACACTTTGGACCATTTGTTCTGGTCTGTTCTGGTCAAACCAAAGCCGGTTCCTCTGTTGGTCCTTCAGACCAGCAGAACCTGCTCCTCATAACTCAATTCTATTCAGTTTATTTCTATAGCTCCAATTCACATCATGTCATCTCAGGTCACTTTATAGATCCAGATCATCCAAAGTTTTCTATCTAAGGAAAACCAGCTGATTGCATCGACTCATTGACTCTTCAGCAATCCCTCACACTAAGCATGCTTGTAGCGACAGT